CCTAGCAATTCAAAAGCATGCGAATACGAGTAGATAGATACCACTTCAATGGGAAGATTAGAGCGTTCCACATGCCTTTGGTGTATAGCCGTGATGGTGAACATATGGCACGCATGCCACAGGTGGCACGCAGAGCCATTTGTGCGGGCACATGAGTCCCAGCCAAACTTACCTGCACTGCTCATGCACGCGCCTCCCAGCTGATTTTCGGTCTGTTTGAGGCTGTTTTCGCCCTCTCGAAGGCTCGAAGGAAGCTTCTGCAGCCTTGGGAAGCCAAAAAACGGGCCTTCTGGAAATACCGGGAGTGCTGAAACAGGCCCATTTTTCGGCCTCCGAAGGCTGCAGAGGCTTCCCTCGAGCCTCCGGATGGGTGAAAACGGCCTCAAACGAAAATCAGCTGGGAGGTGTGCACATGGACAGTGCAGGTAAAGGGCGGAGTGGGGTGTTGCGCGTGTATGCGCAGGGGAGGTGGGGCGCATTGCATTGTGGGTGCCAGTGCGTGCACGCTTTCGGTACACCACCACAAAAAGGTTCATCATTGGTGTATAGACATACTGGCCGTATCACCACAGAAATTGTCTTTGGACAACGTTGGCTCCCTTGGCCAAGAAACAGCGATGAGTACTGCCCCCTAGAGTGGGACACGACTGGACAGGGAAACCTTTATATTTTGGGGAGCCATTCTCATCCATCACTGTCATTATTCCTTCTCTAGGGTGCTGGTGAAATGGTTAACGAAGCCGCTCTGGCAATGGAATATGGCGCATCATGCGAGGACATAGCCAGAGTTTGCCATGCCCATCCGGTAAGTCCTCATGACTTGGTCATCCATGTTGAACATTATGGGAATTTATTTATTTGATCCCGCCTGTATTATGACTACAAATAACTCAAGGTGGTGAATGGCTCTAGCACATCTCCCTCCTCCTATTTGCCCCACAACAACAGCCCTGTGAGGTAAACTGGACTGGTGGGGGGAGAGAGAGAGAGAGAGTGACTGGCTCAAAGTAACCCAGTTGGCTTTCATGGCTAAGGTGAAACTAGAACTCATCGTTGGTTAGTGATTGGCCCAAAGTCAGCCAGCTGGCTTTCATGCCCGAGGCAGGATTAGAACTCACCAGCTCCTGGTGATTGGCCCAAAGTCAACTGGATGGTTTTCATGCCTAAGGAGGGACTAGAACTCACTGTCTCCTGGTGGTTGGTCCAGTCAACCAGCTGACTTTCATACCTAAGGCAGGACTAGAACTCACCAGCTCCTGGTGATTGGCCCAAAGTCACTCAATTGGCTTTCATGCCCCAAGATGGGACTAGAATTCACTACCTCCTGGTGATTGGCCCAATGTCAATTGGATGGCTTTCATGCCTAAGGGAGGAGTAGAACTCACCGTTTCCTGTTTTCTAGCCTTGTGCCTTAACCACTAGCTCTTAGACTTATATACCGCTTCCCAGTGCTTCAAAACCCTCTAAGCAGTTTACAGAGTCAGCCTGTTGCCCCCAACAATCTGGGTCTTCATTTTACCCACCTCAGAAGGATGGAAGGCTGAGTCAAACCTTGAACTGGTCAGGATCGAACTGCTGGCAGTCGGCAGAATTAGCCTGCAGTACTGCATTCTGACCACTGCGCCACCAGGGCTCTTAGACCACAAGTGGCTCTCTATTAAAGTTCTTCATCATTTATAATTGATGAAAGCTCTACATCAGGGGATCTCCAACCTTGGCAACTTTAAGACTTTAAGACTCAGCAAAGCTGGCTGAGGAATTCTGGGAGTTGAAGTCCACAAGTCTTAAAGTTGCCAAGGTTGGAGACTCCTGGTCTACATCATTGCATTGATTTTCCTTTCTTATCTTCTCTTCCATTCATATCTCCATTTTTTTTTCCTGTGTCCCCTCCACAGACCGTATCTGAAGCTTTTAGAGAAGCAAACCTAGCAGCTTCCTTTGGCAAAGCGATCAACTTTTAAAGTGAAGGAACATCGTATTTTTTCCCCCTGTGAAACCGACCAAAGACTTGATGGAAAAATCTGGTTTTTGCAATACTCCCGGGCCTTAATTAAGTGAACTTTTGTTCCAAAAAAAAAAAAAATTATTTAAACAAATAGGGGTTTGGATTTAATTAACCAACACCTGTATATTATATTACCAATACTATATTTGCATTATTGATTGTTCATTCTTAAGTTTCACAGAAGAAAAACAGCAGCCGTATCAGCTAATTTGTTTGGAGCGATCTTTAAAGGCCCCATCATGTATTTTTGTTCAAATATAGTGTCTAATATTAACTCCATGTTGTTGCTTTGTCATTGTTGAGGAAATGGGCTTATCCTGATGATTTAAAATAAGCCATAGCCACCTTCGCACAATGCAGTTAACAAGTGAAGTGAAAGCGAACAATAGACTTAAATCGGATTTTATAGATAACATATATGTGTTTAAGAATATTTGAAACTTGATTCATTTTATCCTGGATCACAATATAAAGGGACATTTAAAATAGCAATGGACCTGTGCTATATCAGTAATCACTTGCAAGCATTTTTAAGAGCAGAAAACTCATTTGTTTTAGTGACACTTTGCAAAAGAGAAAAAGATTCGCAAAATGATACACCTCTGTGCTTGATAATTATTATTTTTTCTTTGGTGAAGTTTCTTGGTTTCCAAATTTGTAAAACTGTATCTTGAGAGTTTAAAATACAGAGGGAAAAACTTAAATTATGTTGGCGTCGTAATACAAAATGGTTTTTGTGTTTTATTATTCTCTGGGCAATGGTGTGGTCTCTGATAGCTTCCACCCCCTTCCTGAAGATAAAGTACTATATAGTAAGATGGGTAGAGATCTTTTGTTACTCATAACTGCCTTGTTTTTAACGAAGATTTAACTTTGAAATAGAAAGGGACAAGAATTAGTTATATTTGTTTGCTTCTTGTATAAAACAGGAACTGTTCAAAACTTGGAGTTCATCTTGGACATAGGAAAAAAATGAATCTTTTCAGTATTCAAAAACAATAAAGATAAAAGTACCCTATGGACAATATACATTTTTTGAATGTAAAGCATAAACATTCTTTGGAGATTAAACTGGAGATCAAAACATATGAAGAATGGTTATAGGACTTGGCTATGTCTAGTCCAGTGGTGGCTAACCTTTTTGGGCTCCTGTGCCAAAAATTATGCATGCGCTTGCACGCTCATGCTCGTGTGCCAGCACCCAGATGGCAATGTGCGCCCCCCCACACCCTATGCATGTGCGCGCAATCCCCACCCCCACTGCCCCCTCACCTGCACTGCGCCTCACAGCTGATTTTCGGCTGGTTTGAGGCCTTTTTCGGCCTCCCAGAGGCTTGAGGAAGGCTTCTGCAGGCTTTGTAGGCCAAAAACTAGCCCTCTTTCATCACTTCTGATATTTTCAGAAAAACAGTGACGAAACAGGGCTAGTTTTCGGCCTGCAAAGCCTGCAGAAGTCTTCCTCAAGCCTCTGGGAAGCTGAAAAAGGCCTCAAACCGGCTGAAAATCAACTGTGAGGCACGCACATGCGCAGTGAGGTAAGTTTGCCTGCAGCTCGCGTGCCAGCACAAATGGCTCTGCGTGCCACCTGTGGCACATGTGTCATAGGTTTGCCATCACGAACCTAATGAAAAGAACAACTGGGGCAGATACGATAGCAGTCTTCCAATATTTGAAGATATCAGAGATGAGGGAACGCAAACTATTTTCCAAAGCACCAGAAGGCAAGACAAGAAACGTTGGATGGAATCTAATCAAGCAGAGAAGCAACCTGGAATTTAGGAGAAACTTCCTAACAGTGAGGACAATTAATCAGTGGAATGGCTTGCCCTCAGAAGCTGTAGGTGCTCCATCACTGGAGGCTTTTAAAAAGAGACTGGACAACCAATTATCTCAAAGTATAGTCATTATTCTTAAATACATTGGTTTAGAACATAGAGTTGGAAGAGTCTTTGGAGGTCTTCTATCTCGTCCAGCTCGAGCAGGGGGTTGGACTAGAAGGCCTCCAAGATCTCCTCCAACTCTTACTATTCTATGTTCTAAACCAGTGATGGCGAACCTTTTTGTTGTGGTGTGCCGAAAGCCCATGCACGCATGTGCTGGCACCCACAATGCAATGTGCCCTGCCCCCACACGCATGTGCACGAAACACCCCTGCGCCCTTACCTGCACTGTGCATGTGTGCACCTCCCAGCTGTTTTTTGGCCCATTTGAGACCTTTCTCTCCCTCCCGGGGGCTCGAGGGAAGCCTCTGCAGCCTCGGGAGGCCGAAAAACGGGCCTGTTTCAGCACTTCTGGTATTTCCGGAAGACCCGTTTTTTGGCCTCCCAAGGCTGCAGAAGCTTCCCTCAAGCCTCCGGGAGGGCAAAAACAGCCTCAAACAGGCCAAAAATCAGCTGGGAGGCGCACACATGCGCAATGCAGGTAAGTTTGGTTGGGGCTCGCGTGCCTGCACAAATGGCTGTGTGCCACTTGTGGCACGCGTGCTATAGGATCGCCATCACAGTTCGAAACCAATATATTTAAGAATAATGACTTTTTTTTTAAAATCAAGGTTTTAAAATCAATCAAGGTTGAACACCTCTGATCTAAAGTTTTATCTTGACTGATCTAAAATTTACCTTGACGCATTCCCCTGGTGATAGTCTCTCCCAAAACTTGCTGCTTCTTCCTACTCATTTTCGTCACAAATCCTGAACTGCCACTGTTTTTCTAGCACTGGCTGGCACTAGGCTGGAGATCAAAATCCCTCTTGCTAATTTAATCAGTTGTAGCTTTTAAAAATCTTTCCCGGCAGGTTGTGCGGTTACTGGAAAAACTCCCAGTCTTTAACCCAATTAGTCAAGAAATTTGAAGCGCAGTCAAGTACTCCACAAACTTAAAAACATCTCCAAAAAGTTTTGGAACAAGACGGTTTGTTTTATGCGCTGGATTATTTTTTTAATCGAAAGATTGGGCATCCTCGAGTCAAAATTAAGTGGTTAAAAACCCCGTTTTGATGCTCGGATTTTATTAGCAGAATGTGAAAAGGGTTCATTGTGCTTTTGGATAATAAAAGTAACATTGGAGTGAGGCTAACTAGGGTTAAAAGAGGCATATCCTTGGTTACAAAGTAGTAGTTTTATTTTACAAAACGAGAAAAAAAATGCTGGTATCTGGTCAGATTACGACAGGCTCTGTTAGACCAATTTTCAAAAGAAATATATTTTGTTTTGTGTTCTTTCGTTTCTTTTTCCGACTTCTAGCAGGTGCTATAAATTGCAACTTTTTGACTAATGGCTTGCAAGAGGCCTCTGACGGTTTCTTCCAGTTCGACGACTTGCTGAGCTTTGTCTTCCAGGATTTTTTGATTTTTTTCGTATGTGTCTTCCAGTTCTGCAAGAAGAAAGAGAGCACGGAGCATTTTAGCCACGACACACGTGGGATAATTTGAGAAATTCATAGCAATAGCAGTAGCAGGCTGATATATTGCTTTACAGCCCTCTCTACGCAGTTTAGAGAGCCAGCCTGTTGCTCCCAACAATCGGAGTCCTTGTTTGACCCATCTCGGAAGGACAGAAGGCTGAGTCAACCTTCAGCCGGTCGGGATCGAATTGGCTGTGGGGAGATTCAGCCTGCAATACTGCAGTCTAACCATTGCGCCACCACAGCTTAGATAGCAATAGCATTTAGACTTATATACCGCTTCATAGTACTTTACAGCCCTTTCTAAGCGGTTTATAGATTTAGTATATTGTCCCCAACAATCAAACAATTGTTTGATGGACCTCGGAAGGACAAGGCTGAGTCAACCTTGAGCCGGTCAGGATCCTGGCAGAATTAGCCTGGAATACTGCACTCTAACCACTGCACCACTACGTCTTAGATAGCAATAGCACTTCGATTTATCATATTGGTTCATAGTGTTTCACAGCCCTCTCTAGGCGGTTTACAGACTCCGCATATTGTCAACAATTTGAAAACTGAGTCAACCTTGAGCCCCATCAAGATCGAACTCCAGGCTGTGGGCAAAGTCAGCCTGCAATGCTGCATTCTAACCACTGAGCCATCACGGCAGAGATAGCAATAGCGCTTAGAGTTATATACCACTTCACAGGGTTTTATAGCCTTCTCTAAGCGGTTTACAGAGTCAGCCTATTGCCCCCAACAATCTGGGTCCTCATTTTACTGACCTTGGAAGGATGAAAGGCGGAGTCAACCTTGAGCCCCATCAAGATCGAACTCCAATACTGCTTTCTAACCACTGTGCCACCACGGCTCTTTCAAGTGAGCAAATCAAATCTTTCTCTCAGTGCTTTGGCTTCATTAAGGAGAGAGGGAAACACCCCTCCCCAGGTCCCTTTGATAATGGATGTTTTTCATCACTTAAAACGCCAGAGGGCGGGGGGGGGGGGAAAGGACTCTCCTATAATTGAAAACAGTCTTCTTTAAAAAACAACAACAAGAAAACAAGAAAATGGCAACACCTTCCCATCCAATGCATACCTTTGAGAAGCTGAAGTTTTCTGTTCGCTTCCTCTAGCAAAATTTTTGCTTCGTTTTGCAGCGCTTCTGCTTTCTTCCTGGCATTTGCAGACTCCCCTGTTTTCTTGGCAATTAGGTTTTCTACTGTTTTGTATTTCTCATTCACACTGTCATCTAGTATCTATAACGAGAGAGAGGGAAAAAAGAGAGAGAAAGAAAAAAGAAAAAGGGTGAGAGAAAGAGAAAGAAAAAAGAGAAAGAGAAAAAGAGACAGAGAAAGAGAGATGTAAGAAAGCGATTATAATACCCCAAACGACTGAGATATTCCAGCTTTTTGCTTAACATCATTGCCTTTAAATACAGGTAGTCTTTGACGTATGACAGGTCGTTTAAGGACTATTAATAGTTAACAACAGACATTTTAATGTATTAGCCGCCCATCTTACTACAGGATAATTCTGGCCACCTTCAGCTATCGATTTTAAGAAGAGCATGCCAGTTTCCTTCTTATGAACTTGTCCACTTTGCCATCATGGGCGTCCGTAGGATTGTGCTCCCCTCATCAAAACGACAGAAGAGGCATTGCGCCCTCGTTATTGCGAAACCCACCCCAAGGGGCTTGTGATGACCCGAGGCGTGGCACAGAAGGAAGCCTGAGAAATCCAGGAATGGGCCTGTTTCCAGCTACCAGAGGGCCTTCAGAGCCCGGGGGAGGCCGTTTTTGCCCTCCCAGAGGCTCGAGGGATGCCTCTGGACCCTTGGGAAAGTGAAAAACGGCCTTCCCGGAAGTTCCGGTAGGCCACGCCCACCATGGCCACGCCCACCCAGCAACTGGACAGCGAACCGGTTGCTGGGATTTTTGAATCCCACCCCTGCTTCCAAGGCTGACATTAAGAGCACCCCAGGTTCCCTGTCAATGCCCTCCCCCCCCCCCGTGAGATATCAATGCTTACTTTTTGAACGTCGGCAGTCGTTCGATCAACCATGGCGATATTTTCTTCAGCGGCTTTGATATCCTCTGTGTTGGTAGCAGCCTTCTGTCTAAGCGTTTCCACGTCCTTCTCTAGTTCTGCAATGCGCAGGGTCGCGTTCCCCAAACGGTCTTCCACCGAGCCGGCCTCCGATGCAATCTAGCCCCGAAGGGATGAAGGGAGAGGGGGAAAAAAAACAACAACATGAATTTCTTCTCAAAATGTTATGTTTTCAAGAAAACCGCAGCCGGTTTTCCAGAATATAACTTCTGCCTATATTGCGATACTCTTTTTCTTCTTTGGCTTATGTGCCACTGAGACAGCAAGTCAACACACCAGGGGCTAAAGGCTCACACGCTATGTTTTAAAAGTTGAGGAGCTGAAGCAGCAGTGGGATCCTACTTGTTCCACTAGCGGTTTGGTGATTGTGTGCGCATGCGCGTATAGCTTTCCACACACCAGCTGAGTCCTGCAGCGCCAATCAGCTGAGAGGATAAAGAAGAGAAAAGCGCAGGGGCAGGTGGAGAGGGCCGATCCTGCGCTTTTCTCTTCTTTCCCCTCTCAGCCGATCCTTTTTTCCTCCTCTCAGCTGATCGTTGGATGCTCTTTCTTTGACTACTGGTTCGGCCAGTAGCCATACCACCACTGAGCTGAAGGGTACTCAAACATTAAGATCGTAGCAAGGGAAGTTTGATTCTAGTCCAACTTCACAGTTTGGGGGTTAATCTATTCCAGATTTTGACTAGATTTGCGCCAATATCTCAGGGGCTGCCACCAAGATTAATTTTGTGAAACATGGAACAAGGTAAAGGTATTTTTATCCAATAACATTAGAATAAATGAATGAATAAATGAAGGGCTAAAACACATCAAAAACGACTGCAGGAATAGGGCATGTCTAGTTTAATGGAAAGAAGGACAAGGGGTGAGATATCTGTCTCCCAATATTTGAGGGGCTGCCACCAAGAAGAGGGAGTCAAGTTATTCTCCAAAGCACCTGAAGACAGGACAAGAAGCAATGGATTGAAACTAACCAAGGAGAGAAGCAACTAGAATTAAGGAGAAATTTCCTAGCAGTGAGGACAATTAACCAGTGGATTATTTTGCCTCCAGGTGCTTCATCACTGGAGGTTTTAAGAAAAGACTGGACAGCTATTTGTCTGAAATGGTATAGTGTTTCTTGCCAGAGCAGGGGGTTGGACTAGAAGACCTCCAAGGTCCCTTCCAACTCTGTTATTCCTCATTCCTATCATCCAAAGTCAGAATCATCAACCACCTACCTCTTTTGTGATTCCCCCCGCCCTCCAGTTTCCCCACTTTAATCTGAACCGGGATTTTCCTTGATGAAGCATATGTTGGGATTAGCTCATCATAATGATCAGTGTGCACCACAAACCATTTTGCAAAGGGGAAATGTTAACCGCCAATATTTGAAATCCACGGTGACATTTATTTTTGCTATAATGAGAGTTCCCAAAACTGTTCTACCTGCAGAAATCACCTGTCTTATTTAGATCTCATAGCACATGTAGGGTTTGTGCACAAGTTAGAAGTGAGCAAAAGGAAATACATGAACTGCATTTTTCCCTCCCTGGCAACTCGGTAATACCAATGACCTTAGCTCTCTGTTTCCGAATAATTTACTCTGCTTCCCCAAAAATAGGACCTACCCTGAAAGTAAGTCCTAGCTTGTTTTTTTTTACATATGTGCCTAATATAAGCCTTTCCCCGCAAAATAAGTCCTAATTAAGATGCCGCCTGCTCCAGAGTGCACAGGTAAAAATTAAGCTAGGGTGAGAATGGGAGGGGTGGAGCTGCCCTACTACTTACCTTTGGACAGTTGTAGCCAGGCCTCACACAACTCAACGCCTGCCTCACCAGCCCATTTCTTCTGCAACTGGCAAAGCTGGCAAGGCTTTCCTGAAGGCCTCTGTAACTGATAACAAAACTCCGGATCGATCCTGAGCTCTGTTATTGGCTGCAGAGGCCTTCAGGAAAGCCTTGCTGGTGGCAGAAGAAGCAGTTCCTGACAGCGAAAAGGAGTCCGGGGGCGACAGGTGCAAGTGAGGTCAGTCAGTGGATGACACCCCCCCCCCCCCCGAAAATAAGACCTGGTGCCTTTTTTGGTGGCAAAAAATATAAGACAGGGTCTTATTTTTGGGAAAACACGGTAGGAAAAATCTCAACTTACAGAGGCAAGCAAGCCTTGTGTTCCTTCGATATCTTTCTCTGCTAGTTTGATGGCATCTTCAGCTGTGGTCTGGGCTCTTCCAGCTTCTTCTAGAGCCTGTCGGACCATATCCGCCGTGACTTTCACATCCGTTGCGCTTTTACTGACCAAGGGACATCACCAACGTTAGAGTCTTTCAAAACACAGGATTGCTTCCTACTTCAGAGAACACGTCTCTCTGCTTCAATCTGCCCTTTGTTTTTATTTTCTAGCAATAGTTTCACAATCAGCTTCAATGCTGCAAGAACATTCCCCTGGAATCCTCAAGCCTCGGAGAATATTGGCTCCGGAATAGATAAAGAGTAAACCATCCCAATCCACATTCCCAGTTACTCTTTCAAGGGTTTGCCTACTACCCTTTAACAGCAGCAGTAAGGACAAAAAAAATATAAACATACAGATAGTCTGTAGAGATTCTCCGTCATCCAGGTCATGGTTGTCCCAAAGGTGCTTTTTGTTTT